TACGCTGTTGAAATGGGCCCACACAGGTCTATGCAGGGGTGAAAGGCATTCAAAGTCTGTGGATCCCTATGCCTGCGCTTATGCAAAGGAGGTGTGCCTACCCTGAGTTCCTGGCTTTGGGGAGCTGGAACATTATTTTCCTGTTTGTTAATTTGTTCACTCTCCAAGGCTGGGAGAATGGCTCAGGGTGCGTGACGGGTCCTACTTCTGCCACAGGGGACCCGGCAATTGCTGAAGCTGGCCGTGGACCTGGTGCAGAGTAGGGAGGGGGCAGGTAAGTGGGAGAGAGGTTTTTTCCCAAAGGAAGTGTTTTTTGATCTGCACCAGTAGGTCAGACGCACGTACTTATGTTTTACCGATTGAGCGCCACTTTTCACTGGTTCTGGAGGCCTGAGTAGACTCTTTGCCACCAAATCTTTCCTAATGTGGAAAACACCCCCCGAGTGCCACTGCTTGCCTCGCCGCACACACCAGCCGATCCAGCCTGAAGGGTGCCAGCTCCCGCTGGGTCAGGTCTGGCAACTCCTTGCTGCTTCCGAACAATCTCTCCCTCTTCCTGCCACTCAGTCTGATTCCTCAACTTTGCCTTTGATGTTCAGGGCTCCTACATTGTCATGTATAATCAATTCACCTGTTTTTTCAGGCCTTTGTTGTAAGAGGGACCAGAGGAAGCGTGTGACTACTCCGTCATCTTGGCCACGTCTCTCCTGGACACCCTTTTAACTCAGAACTGAAGTCACTCCTGAAGTTTACCCTTCAGCCAAAGATTAGACAAGTCTATAAAACAAACAATAACACAAGTGAGGAATGTTTTCATAGTTCAATCATGTATATGAGACTAAATGGACACACCTGCCCAAAAGGAAAGATGAGAAGGCAGGAAGGGACAGGAAAACTTGAGGAATGGTAACAGGGAACCCAGGATGGAGAAGGGGAGAGTGTTGACACATCATGTGGTTGACAACCAATGTCACAAAATAATTAGTGTATTAACTGTTTAATGAGAAACTAATTTACTCTGTCAACTTTCACCTAAAGCACAATTTAAAAAAAATTTTCTTTTTTTTTTAGTATATATTTATTTTGTTGTTGAGGATATACACAGCAAAACATACACCAACTCAACAGTTTGTACATGTACCATTTAGTGATATTGATTACATTCTTTGAGTGTGTAACCATTCTCACCCTCCTTTTCTGAGTTGTTCCTCCTCCATTAACATAAATTCACCAATTGTTGTTTTCTTATTGTTGAATTTTGAGAGTTCTTTATATATTCTGATACAAGTCCTTTATCACATATGTAACTTGTAAATACTATCTACCAGTCTATGACTATTTTTTCATTCTCTTAACAGTGTCTTTCAAAGATCAGAAATAATTGAATTTTAATAAAGTCCGATTTAACAATTTATTCTTTTATGGACCATGCTTTTGGTGTTGTATCTAAGAAATCTTTGCCTAACCCAAAGTCACATTTTCTCCTATATTTTCTTTTAAATGTTTTACAGTTTCAGAATTTATATTTAAGTCTATGATCTATTTTGAGTTAATTTATGTGTGTGCTGTGAGATATGGACCCAAGTTCTTCTCTTCTCCTCTTTTTTTTGCATATAGCCAGTTGTACCAGTGCCGTTGTTGAAAAGACATCATTTCTGCACTGAATTACCTTTGTATGTTTGTGAAAAATCAGTTGCCCATATAAGTGTGTGAGTCTATTTCTAGACTATTTTGTTCCATTGATCTATTTGTGGTATCTTAGAGACCTTCCTTTCACCATTCTTTTAAGGTAGACCAGCTAGCAACACATTATCTTTGTTTTTATTCCACTGAGAATTTCCTGATTTTCCCTTCATTCCGGAAGGATACTTTTGTTGGACATACAATTCTGGGTTGATGGTTTTTTGTTTTTTTTTCCCAGCACTTGGAAAATGTTGTGCCACTTCCTTCTGACCTCCATGGATTCCAAGGAGAGATCTGCTATCATTCAAATTGCTTTTACCTGTAGGTGAGGTGTCATTTTTCTCACATTGCTTTTGAGATTTTCTTTGTCTTTAGTTTCCAGAAGAGTGGCTATGATGTGTCTTGGTGTGGATTACTTTGGGTTTATCCTGTTTGGAGTTCACTGACCTTCTAGAATCTGTAGGTTTATGTCTTTTGCCAAATTTGTGGATTTTTTAGCCACTATTTCTTTGAGTAGTTTTTTCAGCCCTGTCTGTTTCTCCTGCCTATCTGGGACTCCAATGACACAAATGTTAGATCTTTTCTTATAGTCCCACAAAGTTCCTGAGGCTGTTCACACACACCCCTCCCTGCTCAATCTATTTTCTCGCTGTTGTTCAGATCGGGTAGTTTCTATTGTTCCATCTTCAAGTTGAGTAATTTCCTCCTCTGTCTCCGTAGTCTGCTATTGAGCCCATCCATTGAGTTTTTTGTCATATTTTTAAGTTCTAAAATTTCCATTTGGTTCTTCTTCGTATCATCTATTTCTTTGTTGAGGCTATTTTTCCGTTTCAAGTGTGTTTGTAATTGCTTACGGAAACATTTTTATGGTGGCTGCTTTGAAATCTGTCCAATAATTCCAACATCTGTGTCATCTCAGTGTTAGCACCTATAGATTGTATTTTCTGATTCAAGGTGAGATTTTCCTAGTTCTTGGTATAACAAGTTATTTTCTCAGTTGAAACCTGGACATTTTGGGTATTATGAGAGTCTGAATCTTAATTAAACCTTGTTTTAGGTAGCCTCCCCTGATACCACTCCAGCAGAGGGAGGGGCAGGGTGTTGCCATGTTACTGCAGGTGGGGGCTCAAGTCCTGGTTCCAGGAGGCCAGTGTTTCTGCTGGGCAGAGGTGGAGGTTCTGGTTTCTACTAGCCCTCTGCTGGTACCAACCTGGCTGGAAGGGGTGAGTGCCTTGTTACTGCTCCCAAGTGGCCGCCACTAAAACTATGGGGGTGGCTAGTTACCACTAGCTGGTAGAGAAAGCCACCTCTCCACTGAGCCTCCTGTGATACGTCAGCAGGGAGGGACAAGCATCTTGCTCAGCCTCGAACGTGTGGCAGTCACTGGGCCTTCTGTGATACGTCAGCAGAGGGGGACAGGCATCTTGCTCAGCCTCGAAAGTGTGGCAGTCACTGGGCCTTCTGTGATACGTCAGCAGAGGGGGACAGGCATCTTGCTCAGCCTCGAAAGTGTGGCAGTCACTGGGCCTTCTGTGATACTTCAGCAGGGGGGACAGGCATCTTGCTCAGCCTAGGAAGTGTGGCAGTCTAGATGTCACTGGGCCTTCCTGGCATGTGTTGGGGTGGGGCTGTAGTTTTTTCTTGGTGTTTGGCTGGAGTAGAGAAGCTTGGCCTCTCCTGAGCACATGGTGACTTGGAGGTGTCAGATCCTCCCACCCTTGGGTGCTGCCCTCGGCCCAGGTTGGTCCACAGGGTGTGTCCGCCTTGGCCCTTGACATGTGGTGCCCCTCCCATCCGTGCTGCCCATGGGGCACGCCACACTCCCGCCCCACAGCCCCACAGCCCCGCAGCCCGGCAGCCCCGCAGCTGAGTCTTGTGCTCCCCTCTGACCACCCCCACCCCAGCTGGCCAAAGCTGCAGGGCTGGGTGCGGGCAGAGCCAGGACCACCCACAGCCATGGGCCTGGGGCAGGATAAGACATGAACACAGACAGAAGCAGAAGTTACGTGCGTTTTAATGGGGAAGGGTCGGGAGGACAGAACATCAGGAGCAGTGTTTTACCACGTTGGTGTAAAAATGAGACAGGATCCAGACATGCATCTTTACACAACAGTTACAGCGACGTTCCAGAATCCAAGCAGCAGTTTGAATTGTGTTCTTGAAAAATGAAAACACACACACACTGACTCACACACACACACACACACACACACACACACACACTCGGCGCTCCAGGTGCCTCCACAGGGGCCAGGCCCCACTCAGCCAGGGGCTGTGTGCCCCCAGGCCCCTGTATCATAGGTGCGGCCCGGGCACCGTGGCCAGAACCGCGAGCCTGGGGCCTGCCGTGCAGGGGCCAGAGCCAGGCCCTGGACCCTGGCGCCCAAGGACGAGTGTTGGACATCTCCGGGGGGTGGACAAAGTCGCCCGGCAGCTCTCCCAGAGGTACAATAAATACGAGAACCCAAACGGAGAAACAACAGATGAACCCACACGGCAAACCCCACATGGAACAAAAAAGGCTCAGCCCGGCTCTTGCGGGCCTCGGCAGACCCTTCACAGAGCAGGCGGCTCTCTGGGTCAGCCGGCTGGCCCGCTTGGCACGGGAGGACAGACCTACTTCTAGCAGCAGCCCGGGCGGCTGTGCGTGCATCGAGGCAGTGGTGTGGGCCCAGGACAGCGGCAGTCAGGGCCGTGGGGTGGGGGTCCCACCGGCAGGACCCTCCCCAGCCCGGCGCAGCCTGGGTGTGGTGCTGGGGTGGGGTGGGTGGTGGATGCCATCGGATGGGGTGCTGGCTGGGTTGTGGGGCAGCTAGCCCTCACGCACACTGACCCGTGGCTCGGCCAGGGAGCTGTGGATGATGTTGATGACAGCCTCCAGGCCGCTCCCCTCTAGTAGGGTCCTGTGGTCCCCCTCGATGACGTGCACCGACACCTTGCCGTCGCACACTTGTGAGAGGTTATAGTCGGCACCCAGGTCATCCCCGTAGGTGCTGCCTGTCTTGGCCCTCAACAGTGTGACGTTGCCGTGGTACTTGGTGTTGGGCGCGTACTGCTCAGCCGCGCGCAGCTTGTGGTAGAAGGAGAAGGCCGCAAAACTGAGCTCCTGGCGGTTGATGTCATGGTGGCTCTGGGCAATTAGGTCCACCGTGGCTGCCACGCGCTGCTCCAGGTCCTTCAGCGGCAGCAGGGCCTCCAGCACCTGTGGGGACAGGCTCTCAACGTGGGGCCAGAGAGTGGCCTCCACGACCCCAACCCAGCTCCTTGCGCCCAGGGCCTGGACGTACCCTGCTGTGCTCCATGTCCGTGAACTGCTGCACAAAGAAGCACATGGCCTCAGTCTCGGCCTCGGCCTCGCAGCCCGGCGTCAGCTTAGCCCGGTAGCTCTGCAAAGGGAGGAGGAGGTGCTGCAGCCAAGCAGGTGGCCTGAGGGTGACCAGGGACCCTCCTGGGAGAGGGGAGAGGGCGAGACCTTCACCCAGAAAGACCCCAGCCTCACCTGGGTGTAGGCCAACACATAGGTGTGGGAGCCGTCAAACAGGAAGAGGCTGTTGTGGGCAGGGCCCTGCTGTGCCTGTAGCTGGGAGCACATCTCAAAGGCCACGCAGGCCCCGTAGGAGTAGCCGGCGATGCGGTATGGGCCCTCGGGCTGTACCTGCCGGATGCAGTCCATGTAATAGGCGGCCAGGCTCTGGATACTGTCCAGGGGTGCAGCTGCAAAGGCACGGGGGCTGAGCAGGATGGCCACAGGTGGGGTCCCCAGCAGGGGATGGACCACCACCTGCCCCCTGTGCCCCCACGCCCCCCGCCCACACCTCGGGTGCACTGCAGGCCGTAGGTGGGGATGCTCAGCCTGGCGGCCAGGCTGTGGAAGATGCTGAGGGAGCCCTCGATGGGGTGCACTAGGAACAGCGGCCGCTCAGAGCTCTGCACGGTGTTGAGGCGCGTCAGTGTTGGAGCCTCGGGGTTCACCAGAAGCATGCTCAGGTTCAGCTGGGCTTGCTGCCGGGCTGCGGGGCTGTCCTTCGTGGGTCCGGGGGACACCAACTCTGTGAGGAGAACGGCTGGGTGAAGGGCTGGCCAAATACACGGAGGTACGCACGGACACAGACGCGCACGCACACACGGATGCAGACACGTACACACACACATACACATGTAGACATACACGCATACACGTGCAGACACGTACAGATATGCGCAAAGATATACATGTAGAAATGTACACAGACACATGCAGACACGCACACACGCATGCAAATACATGCGCCTATGCACACACACAGAGATACGTGTGCAGACATGTATGCACACGCAGACACACACACACACACACAGCTGACTTGGGAGGCTGCTGATGCCCTAAAGTGCTAGGCGCTGAGTGCTCTCGGGAAGGAGCAAGGATGGGGGTGGTCTGCAGTCAGTGGGGGGAAGAACCGTGCTCCCCTGCCCCAGGGTCACCAGACACACGGGCCATCAGGTGCAGGAGCGAAGGAGGCTGCCTGAGAGCTGGAGAAGACCCTCGGCTGGAAGCGGCGACCCCGCCCGCCCACCACGCACCCTCGGTGGCCTGTGACGAGAGCTCCTTCAGTTTGCGCAGCGAGAGCTGCCGCACCTCCCGCATGGACAGCGCCAGGCCGTGCTCTCGCTCCAGTGTCTGCCGCACCTCCACACCCATGAGCGAGTCCAGGCCCAGGTCCGCCAGCGAGGTGTCCAGGCTGACGGCCGCCACATCTCGGATCCCTAAGGAGGCACAATTTGTCAGTAGGGCCGCAGCTGGGGTGAGGCTGGCGCGTGAGCCACATGGCCAGGCCCACGCAGGACTTGGGGCCACCAGCGAGGAGGCAAGTGTGTCGGGACAGAGCAGGATCTGAACCCGGCTTGGGCACCAAGCCCTTCCCCTGGGCCCACTGTCCCCGCCCACTGCACTCACCCAGGATGTGTGCCACGGCCTTCACCAGGTCCCGCTGGCCGTCGCCCCCGCTGCGTGCCGCTGCTTTCTTCTCAGCCAGCACGAAGCTGCTCAGCACCGGGTGAGGCTGGTTAAGGAACAGGTCGAGCACCTCCAGGCAGGAGACGATGCGCTGGGGCAGCGTGCCACCGATGACCATGTCGTTGGTGCCCATGGCCTCCAGGACAATGCCCACATCGCCAATGGCACCCCACTGCACAGCCAGGCCTGCGGGCGGGGGTGCGGGTCAGCGAGGGGGATGGGGCGCGGGGCTGGGTGTGGCCGGGCGGGGCTGGTGGCCCACCTGGGAGGCCGTCGTGCCGGCGCTGCTCACAGATGCGCTCCATGGTGGAGTTGGCAAAGCCGTAGTTAGCCTGGCCGGCGTTGCCGCGCCCACAGCTCACAGAGGAGAAGGCCACAAAATAGTCCAGCTCAGGGCATGCCTCCCGGGTCACCCTGTGGGGAGCAGGTGTCAGCCCTGCCCTGCCCTGCCCTGCCCTGCTCGCGAGCCCTTGCCCCCACCCTCAGGGGCAGGCTCTGCCTGGGAAGGGAGGTGCCAGTCCGCTGAGGGCTCGCAGATCCCAGGGGCAGCTGGCTTCTGCAGCAAGAACCCGTGCCCCCGAAGCGCTTTGGTTGGTGGAGGGGGGCCCCGGGGCAGAAGAGGCCCATCCAAGACACAGTCAGCTGGCCGGGTGAAGAGCGTGGGGTGCTGTGGGCGCCCACCTGTCCAGGTTCAGCGTCCCGCTGTACTTGGGCTTGTTCACGTCCTGGAAGAGCTCAGGACTCTGGTTTTCCAGTATGGCGTCTCTCAGCACCTGGGTGAGCAGGCCCTTCAGCACCAGCCTGGTCAACCCTTGGCCCCTCCTCCCCAGCTCCAGGCCTCGTGGGGCTGCACTCACCATGGCCAGGTTAAAGACACCCCCCACGGGCCCGAGCTGTGCAGCCTCTGCGATGAGTCTCCGTGCTCCCTCCAGCGAGCTGGCGTTGCTGGTGGACACAAGCACCTGGATGCCCTGGTGCCTCCACTCATGGACCTGCTTGGCCTGGTAGCCTGTGGGACGCGGGGCGCTGGGCGGGCTGGCACAGATGTGCCACCCTCCCCGAGCCCTCCTAGACGTAGGGCCCCAGGGCAGGCAGGCCCAGGGATAGGAGCTCCCCCACCCCATCGCACCCTCAGGCTCCCCCACCTGTCCGGATCCCCGAGCGGGAGGTCAGCACAAGCTTCTGAGCCCCCCGCAGTATGAGCCACTGGGCCAGCTCGAGGCCAAAACCACCCAGGCCGCCAGCAATGATGTAGCTCTTGTGGGCCGAGCAGAAGGTCTTGGAGATGGCTGTGGTCAGGGCAGGTCTGGTCCCCGGTGGCACCTCACCCTGCTCTTCCTCTTTCACCTGTGACCAGTGGCACCATTTGCTCTGGAAGCCTGTGTGCGAGGACACCCGCCCGCCTGCCCGCCCACCAGGCCCCGGCCTCACCTGGACTACCACCTTGCCTATGTGCTTGCCCTGAGCCATGTAGCGGAAGGCCTCCTCCACCTGGTCCTTGTGGAACACAGTGCATTTGAGAGGCTGCACCACGCCATCGCGGATGCCCGTCCGCAGCAGCGCTGCCACCTCCTGCCAGTCGGCATAGGCGTCCTCAAATAATGCATCCAGCAAGATGCCGTGGAAGGTCACATTCTTCAGGAAGATGGCCATGCCTGGAGGCGGGCAGGAGGCTCACTCGTGGCTCCCAGGGTCCACCCACCCCCTGACCTGTCCATCCACCTTGTCTGCCTGCTTCCCTGTGCACTCTCCAGCCTGCCAGGTCCCCCCACTCCGTCTGCCTGCCCACCCCCTGCCCTGTCCACCCTCCTGCCTGCTGCGTCCACCCACTCTGTCTGCCTGCCACGTCCACCCACCCTATCTGCCTGCCCACCCCCTGCCCCGTCCACTCGCCCACTCCGTCTGCCCGGGCCTCACCCAGCGCAGTGTTGTTGAACAGGTCAAACTTGCCGATCTCAAGGAAGCGGCCGTGCTGTGCCAGGCACCGCACGCTGGCCTGCAGCTTCTCCTCCGCCAAGGAGTTCAGGACCAGATCAACGCCTGGGGGACAGACAACGGGGTCCTCAAGGTCCGCCTGCTGCCCAGCCCACCTGTGAGGTCCAGAGCAGACGCCGTCCCTCCCCGACACCCACTCCCCTGGAGACTTGGGGGGACGCGCGCTCACCCCGCCCGGCTGTGTGCCGCAGCACGTGCTCCTCAAAGGACGTGTCGCGGGAGTTGGCAAAGCTGTCCTTGCTGAGCTGCGGGAAGCGGGCCTGCAGGTACGCGCGCTTCTCGGCGGACCCCACGGTAGTGAAGACGCGGCAGCCCAGGCTGAGGGCAATGGTGATGGCGGCCTGGCCCACGCCACCCGAGCCCGAGTGCACGAGCACGGTCTCACCGCGCCGGATGCGCCCACGCACCACCAGCGAGTAGTATGCTGTCGTGTAGACCACAGGTACCGAGGCCGCCTCCTCCAGGGTCCTGTGGGCGCGCGGGAAGTGGGTTAGCTCTGGCCAAGGACTGAAGGGCCCCTGGATGCCCCAGCACTCTGACACTCACCAGCCAGAAGGCACGTCCCAGAGGAAGTCCGCAGGGAGCAAGACGGAGGTGGCCAGGCCCTCGGAGGGCAACAGCCCCATCACGCGCTTGCCACTGGCGTCACGGCCGGAGAACTCCATGCCCAGCATGCTGTCCTGGGTGGTCCACTTGCCTGGAGGGGACGTGGAGTGAGCCCCTGTGCCCCACTGCCCCACGAGCATGCCCCAGGAGGCCCCCAGATCCCTGGATGGGCTCTTCTCCCCGGGGGCTGCATGTACCTGGGATGGCATCGGGGGAGAGCTTGCCCGTGGCCAGCATGATGTCACGGAAGTTGAGTGAGGCGTAGTAGACACGGCAAAGCTGGGCGCCAGGCCTGGCGGGTGGGGCGTGGCGCAGGGGTGCGCACACCCAGCGGATAGAGGAGAGGTCCCCACGGGTCAGCAGGCTCACACAGGCGTGCTCTGTCTGCTCCTCCCGCTTGCCTGTGGGAGGCAGGAGGCCAGGCTGCCGAGGGCCGGCAGGCACCAGGGCTGGGGGTGCTGGTGAGGCAGGGGAGCCCGGAGTGGGGAATGGGGGGAGGGCAGGGGGCCCACCTTGCTCTAGCGGGAAGTGGCGGAAGGCCCCCCAGGCGCCATCGCGGTAGACATTCATCACCAGGTCCCCCTGTAGCACCTTCTGCAGCTCCGGGGAGCTCGGGTCCATCGGGGGCATGGGGGACTCACTGCTGAGGCTGGACACCAGGATGCACCTGTGGGCGGCCGGGGTGGTGAGGTGGGAGGGGATGGGGAGGTGAGGGAGGGGAAAGGGAAGGAGATGAGATGGGGAGACGGGAGGCAGGGGAGGGGCCGTACCGCACACGGTGGCCCCCGGGCTCCTTGCGCAGACAGTTCACCATGCCCATGACGCCCGAAGTGGCGCAGCTGATGGCCGTCAGCCACACAGGCCGGGAGGAGGCATCAGCCAGAATGCTCTGCAAGGGAGGCAGGAAGGGTCAGCCTTGGGTGGTACTGCTGGACCGTCCTGGCACTGGGGCGGGCAGGGCTCTGACCTTCAGTGAGTCCACCCATTGGAAACTGGTGTCCTCCACGGATAGGAAAATGGGGCTGTCCGGGGGGGCCAGCCGGCGGCAGAGGAAGAGCACAGAGCCGTAGAAGGACCGTTTCAGCCCTACCAGGTGCAGCGAGGCCTTGGCAAAGAGGCTCTCCCACTCATCCTGCAGGGGGCGGGGGGGTGGTTAGCGGCTCCCACCCGCATGCAGCTCCCAGCCCTGCCCCCAGCCCACGCGCCCCAGCACCTGGCTCAGGAGGTCGGCAGCGGTGAGGAAGGCCATGGTCTCCCCAAGTGTGTGCCCCTTGAGCAGAGCGTGCACCAGCAGGAAGCCGCCCTCCTTGACGGCCGCTGCCATGTTGCCGAGAGCCACAGAGGGGTTGCCGAGGGTGGCCACGGCACAGTTGCACACCAGAAGGTCAGCTGCGCCCAGGTTGCTGGGTGCGGGCTCCACGGGGTCCCACTGGCCCTGGACCACGTCTTGCTGTTGTAGCCGTTCCTGCACGGCCTGTAGGGCCTGGGCATGGCGGTCGGTGGCCGTGTAGTCCAGCTGCAGCACGGGCTGCGTTTTGAGCAGTTCCGGTATGCGGGCGTACAGGTGACCCTCACCAGCCAGCACCTGGGGGGAACAGCTTCTTCCTGGACCAGCTGCCACGGGCACGTGTCCCCAATTGACCCGCTAGTGGGCCCGCTGGGCGGCAGACGCAGGACGACTACCCAAGCGCTCTGCTCTGCCCTGAGGCCGTCTACACCGTTCGGTCACCGGGGCAGGTCTCCCATGATGGCACCAACGGTGGCACCCACGTGACGCCTCCCAGGTCGAGGGGCGCCCGCCGCTGTGACCGTGTCCACGTCCGCACCCACCTCTACCACCTTCATCCTCGAGTCACTGATGTTCTCTAGGGCCGTGTCCACACAGGCCTTGAGTGCCGGCGCGTCCAGGAGGCCAGCCAGCAGGGGGTCGTTGGCCAGCAGGAGGCGCTCCTGGGCCAGCACGGGACCCAGCTCCAGCTGTAGGTTCCCATTGAGCTGCAGCTGGCAGGCGGCTACCAGCAGCCTCGCCAGGGCATGCTGTGGGGGGTCCCGGGGGGCCGAGGCCCCGCCCAGCCCAGGCACAGTCATCTTCAGCCCCTGCTGAGCGGCCTTGGCCTGCAGAGTCTGCGCCAAACCTGGGGTGGGAGAGACAGATGTTGGGGTCTCAGTCTGCAGGCCGGGCGGGCTGGGGGCCGTGCAGTGGGCTGGGGGCTCCGTGGGGAGGACTGGGGGCCTCATGGGGCAGGCTGAGGGCTATGGGGCAGGGTGGGGGCCGTGGGGTGGGCTGGGCCTCACCCGTGCACAGTTGTAGCTCCGCCCGCAGGGCCGCGCTGTCTGCCAGGCACTCGACCTCCAGGTGCGGCGTGAAGCTGAACTTCTCTAGGATTGGGGTGAACTGCTCCTGCTGCCGCCGCGGGGCCGCCGAGGCGTGCAGCCCCGTGATGAGGGCGCCGCCCGCCACTGTGCTGTTCAGGTATCTGTTCACCGCCACGTCGGCCGCTGCAGGAGACAAGGACGGTGAGCACCTCGGAGTGCCGCCGGGGGAGGGGCAGAGGTGGGGCGGGGCTACCTCGGCCCTGGTCCCGCAGCCTCTGCTGGTGGGTGGCGGGGTCAATGCGGACGCAGCCAAAGCGGGTGGGCAGGCGCAGGCTGTGCTGGCTGAAGTCCAGGATGGCCAGCTGCAGCATGGTGTCCAGGAAGGTCACCCAGTTGTCATTCCACAGCAGCTTGCCTGTGGTGCCTGCAGGGAGTCGGGGTCACACGTGCCCTTGGGCTCACCACTCACACACCCTGGCTCTGGGGCACCTGGGGCTCCCACGCCCACGCCTGGGGATGCCCCTGGGGCTGCCGTCGGTCGAGTCGCCTCCCAGGCCACCCGGGCTGGTGTGACCAGCGTCCACGTGCAGACCCACCTTCCAGGTTGGTCTCGAGGATGCCCTGGAAACGGGGGCCGTAGTCATAGCCGCGCAGCCGCAGTGCCTTGTACACGTCGCCCTGGGCCAGGCAGGATGGGGCCGCAGGCTCCGCAGGCACCGCAGGCTCCGCAGGGGCCAGGCCGTCCTGGTTGTCCAAGAGCCTGGGGTCAGGCTCCTCCCACTGGTACACTTTTCCTATGGGTGGCGCAGCAGGGAGGGTCTTAGGAGCACAGCAGCACGGTGCCGGGCCCAGCGTCCCCGTGGCCCCCACTCACCACTCACTATCAGGTTGCCATTCTCAGACACCTCAAAGATGCAGGAGGCCTCCAGGAGCCGCACCTCCAGCGGCAAAGTCCCTGCGGGCAGTGGGTGCAGTCAGCCTGGCCCCCCGCCCTGGGCCACCCCCCCCGCCCCGTCCCGGGCCGCCCATGGCTCACCTGTCTTGGGCAGGAGGGTGGCCTGATGTAAGGTCACGTCCTCAAACACCACAGGCATCTGCTCCATGACCAGGCCCAGAGCGCGGGCCAGTGTCTTCCAGACCAGGCACAGGTAGCCGGTGGCAGGGAAGATGACACGTCCGTCGATACGGTGCTCCACGAGGTAGTGGTCGGGGGACTCAGGGCTGGTGTCTGCGGTACACACGGGCCTCAGTCCCCACCTCCTGCCCGCGGCCCGCGGCCCGCTGCCCGCCCGCCCGCCCGCCCGCCGGCCGCCCGCACCGATGTTGTAGACAGTGGCAGAGGACGAGCTGGAGCCGCTGGGGAAGTCCTTGGCAGCGGGCACGTCCCAGGTCTGGCTGTGATCCCACTTGATGAGGGGTGAGATGAGAGGCGTGCCCCGGGGGACCGGGAACTCCACGGGCGGGAAGAGGCCGTTGGGGTTGACGTCGATGCTGGTGGGGGGAGGGGCATGAGGGGCACGGCCGCGGGGCTCTGGAAATCCCACTGGGTGCCTGCTTCGAACCATCTCCCCTTAGACTACCACCCCCTGCCAGACGGGGTGCTCGGGGTGCACAGGAAAACCACGACATTCAGGGCTCTTCCCCACCCACTGCCAAGGCCACCCGGGCCCCCGGGGCTCCCCGGGCAGCGAGCCCACGGCTGATACACACCCTGCCGCCCCCTCTCCTGGGTGGTAAATCTGGGGTCCCCCCTGCAGGACCAAGTGGAGGACCCAGGCCAGCAGAGGTGGCAGTCAGTCTGCAGTTGCGGGGTGGGCAAGTGCAGGGTGGGCAGGTGCGGGGTGGGCAAGTGCAAAGGTGGGCAGGTACAGATGTGGGCACGTGTGCCTAGTGTGCAGGTAGACAGGTGCGCAGGTGCGAGGTGCACAGGTGGGCAGATGCGCAGGTGCGAGGTGCACAGGTATGCAGGTGCGGGCCTACCCGCTGAGGTGGAGCTTGCCGATGTTGCTGAGGAAGAACTCGAGGTTGTCTTTGTGGCCCTTCTTCATCAGCGGGATGATGGTACAGCTGGACTTGAGACCTCGCTTCAGGATGGCCTGAGGGGGGCAGACGTGGGCTGGGGCCTTTCCTTGCACCACCCAACGTCCGCGGGCCGTGCCTCATCCCGTCACACATCCCCTCCCGGGGCCCCTGACTGCCCCTCCACCCCGCCCTCATCCTTCCTCGGCGCACGCGGGCTCCGGCAGAACACACCTGCAGCAGGGCATGGGGCGCGACCTCCACTACCACGGCGTTCTCGGGGACGTGCCACAGTGCCTCCTGGAACAGCACGGGGCTCACGAGGTTGTTGACATTGTACTCGGCTGAGGAGGTGCGCGCCAAGCTGCCCTGCCACTCGGCCTCAGGGACAGAAGTGCTGAGCCAACGCGGTGAGCGAGGCCGCGGCTGCCGGATCACCTGTGACACAGGCTGGCTCAGCGGGGCAGCAGGCCGCCACGCCAGCTCCATCCCAGGCCCCTCCTCCAGGCCACCCCCACCAGCCCTCACATGCTGGCCAGCGTCCAGGGGGTTTGGACTCCCAACCTGAGCACAGGCCCCCTGACGGCAGGGACCGAGCCTTGTGACCCGGGCCAGCACCCACCTTCTTCAGTGCCTGGAGCAGCGTGGGCGCAATGGACTCCATGAAGTACGAGTGGAAGGCCATGCCGCCCGTCCGCACCTCTTTGGCAAACACGCCCTCCTGCTTCAGCTGCTCCACAAACTCGGACATGGCAGCCTGAGGAGGGGCGACGTCAGGGTGGGCCCAGAGCAGACGAGCTTCCCGCGGCACCATCTCTTGCATGCTGGCAGCCTGGCACCCGCAGGGGGCACCGTGTCCCAGAGCAGAGGAGCTCAGGGCCTCCCCAGGGCCGAGCCTGGCCCACCCGTTCCTTTGGGGTTCGCACCCCAGTCTCACCTCCCAGTGCCCAGGCTGTGCCCCGGGTCAACGTGGGGGACCCACTGTGGCCACAGCACCAACCTGAGGCCCCGAGATGGTGACAGTGTCCTCGGAGTTGTGGCAGGCAGGCACGATGCCAGGGGGGCAGCGCTTCTTGCACTCGGCCCAGGACAGGCCTGCGGGCAGAGGGAAACCACGGTGCTGACTCGCACTGCACCACCTTTACGAGCGCTGTCTCTGCTGCGTTTGATCTAGGGAGGGCGTCGCTACTCCCATCTCGGGGCCCGGTAATGACACCCTAGGGCTGGGCCCTCACACACCCCCACAGCTCCTTGGGTCAGCCTGCCCACTGCCAGCAGCACCAGGCCCCACGGCCCTTGTCCGCCCTCCCGGGAGTGCGAGGGCCGCCCAGGAGCCCCAGGCCGACGCCTACCCACGGCCGCCATGGCGCCCGGTGGCATGTCGGCCTCCTTGATGCACTGGCCCCTCCAGTAGGCCGCCAGCACCGCCTCCTCCTGCGTCAGGCAGCCGTCAGCATAGCCGCAGGTCACCTCGCCCAGGGAGTGCCCGACGATGCCGTCCGGCCGCAGCCCCATGGCAGTCAGCAGGTCAATGAGCGCGATCTGGGGGCAGGACCGCGGGTTTGCCGGGCTGCTCCTGCTGGCCTGCCCTGCACCTGCCGCAGCCTCCCAGGGGCCCGCGCACCTGGATGGCGGTGAGGCTGACGAAGGCGTGAACGATGTCGTCAAAGGTGTTCTCGTCCGTGCTCAGCAGGAGGTCCGACACTTTCAGCCCAAACTGCGACACGGCCTCGTCTGAGCGCAGGATGGACTCTCGGAAGTTGCTCAGACGCATAAGGCTTAGCCCCATCCCGAGCCACTGCGTGCCCATGCCTGCGGGGAGACGGCCCGGGGGTCAGGGAGACCACGCACCTGCCCCATCCTCCTGCGGGAGGGAAGGAGGCAGGGCTCACCGGAGCAGATGAACCAGAGGGGGCGGTCGCCGGCGGGCACCTGCTGCACCTCCTGGGCTTCGCCCTCGATGCCCAGCACGGTGTAGCCGCGGAAGGGCATGGAGGAGGTGGGGGTGGCTGCGATGTCATTGAGCATATTGAGGAAGGCCAGGTCCTGGCTGTGCCTGCGGCCCTGCTCCAGCAGGCCCTGCACAGCCTCGGGGGTGCGCCCGCTGGCCTGCAGCAGCCGGGGAAGGGCAGGTGGGGTGGGCGCTGGGGGCCGCACGGCATTGGGCTGGAGGATGACGTGCACATTGGAGCCGCCGAAGCCAAAGGAATTGATGCTGACGTTGCCGTAGCCCACCGGGAGGGGCTGGTCCACCACCCGCAGCCGCCCGTCCTGCAGTGCCGGGATCTTGGGATTGGGGTTGTGGAAGTGCAGGTTGGGGGCCCACTGCCCATGCTCCAGAGACAGCAGCACCTGCAGGCGGGGAGGATGAGCGGGCAGGCGGTCCCCAGACCGTACCCTCGTCTCACCTGGGACTACAGGCAAGTCCCACCCTCCAACCCCACTGTGCTGCCCACCACACAGGGCCGATGACTAACCCGCCGTCGCTGTGCCCAGGTCTGGGTGTGCGTCGAGCGAGGGCATGCCCACTCCCCTCCGAGGCCCACCCGGCAGGCTGGCTGTGTGCCCGCACCTGCCGTGTTCCACGGCTACAGATAGTGCCGGCCAGCCAGGTGAAAGACAGTGGGGCCCTGGTCCACTAGGAGGTCCCCTACAGCCTGGCCCCTACCCTCCGTGGTCGGGAGGCCATGGGGATGGGATGGCAGGCAGACGTGCCCTCCCAGCCCACAGCGGGTACACCTGGCTGAACCGGGCCTGCCAGGTGGGGCCGGCACCCTGCCTGCTGGCCGCCTGCCACTTTTACCTGCCTATTCTCCTTCCTTCCTTCTCTGAGCCTTTCTTGCTTCCCAGAAGACCCAGTCCTGGTGCTGGCCAAGTGGAGTGCGTGCTCAGCTGGTTGCTTGAGGGGCCCACCCTGCTGCCCAGCCTTGGCCCCTCCACCAGGTGGGTGGGCGGCCCGGGCGGCCAGCTGACGTGCCTACCTTGGCCAGGGCTGCGAGCCCCGAGGCAGGCTCGGGGTGACCCATGTTGGACTTCGTGGACCCGATCAGCAGTGGGCTCTGGCGGGTGGCACACAGGGCCTGGGCGATGCAGTTTAGCTCCTGGGGGTCACCCACCTGCAGGGAGCATGGGAGGGTCACAGTTCCGTCCCCCTACCTCTGCTGGGCGCGCAGGGCGGACGGGCAGGCAGGGCCTCACCGTGGTACCCGTGCCGTGGGCTTCGATATATTCAAGGGACTCGGGGTCCACCCCGGCTGGCTCGTACATTGAGCGGAGGAGATACGCCTGGGCTTCTCCGGAGGGGAAGGTCACGCCTGGAGGGAGAGGTGCCTCATACCACGGCCTCCCGCGCCCCCACCTGCCGCCCCCCCATTCCCGGCAGCCCACCTTGCTCCTTGTAGCCGTCCGTGTTGGTGCCCGTGTTCAGGATGGTGGCGTATACCCGCTTGGCCAGGGACTTCTTGGTGAGCAAGACGGCCACCACAGCCTCGGCGCGGCAGTACCCGTTCCCTGGGGGGAGTGTGGCGGCTC